GTTAGATGCGTTCTGAATGTGATTCATTGAGGATAAGTGATCATCATATATATTGGTAGATTTCAGGCATTCCATCTTCTTGCTGAGTTAGTTAATAGCTATCATAGAGCATGGAGAAACTGTGAGAAGATCTGGATTCCTGTCTTGACTCCAACAGAAATCATAGGAAAGATTATATCAATGTTTTTTCATCTATCAATAGATATCTATGCATCTATAGCTTTCAAACTTTGTAGATGAGCAGGACACTTTGTCAGATAAAATCTTACATGGAATCTCAATAGATTACATCAAGAAAATAGTGGGTAATGCTAACAGCTTCTCTTTATTCCTCATGAAACCACCTAGCACTAAGAAGAATAGCATGAGAACTGTAAGTTTATATAACACCAAAATTCTCTTTTATATTTAAAATTCATGTTTTCCAGGGTTTATCAAAGGTTGCAATGGCAGTTGCCAGTGAACTCATTTCTAAAAGAGATTTTTGACTATGAATTCTAATTATGTCACACCTAAAAATCTATCCTATATGACATGTTCTTCTGACAATGAAGCTGACATTTCTTTGGTCAAGAAGTGAGGTCTATCGTCCTTTCCTTTGAGTATGGAAGGGTAATTAATGGACTAACAAATTTGGACTTTACTGGTATATTAAGTGTATAATTGTCATTTTACATTTATCTCCTATCCCAAGAACTTGATGTATTCCTTTATTATATCTGTAAATTTATTTGCAGATTCCTTAAGATTTTCCATCTACAAGGTCATGTCATCTTTAAGCAATAATCATTTTCTTTCTTTCTATCTGGATACCATTTAAAAATTTATATTTGGGTCTGATTTCAATGCATAAAACCCTCAAGGACAATGTTAGAGATATATGTATATATATTTCAAGAGCACATATTCTTATTCTGTGCACAGTGTTAGAATAAAAATGTCTTTTACCATGATATTAGTTTCTCATAGACATACTTTATCAGGTTGAGGAAGCTGCCTTTTACTTATTATTTCTTGAGTGTTTTTATCATGAATGTACTAGGGTTTTGTCAAATGCAAATTCCAAGTCTATTGAGACAGCCTTGTAACATTTTGTTCTTCCCTGTATTAATATGGAGATTGTTCTTGGATGTTGAATCAACCTTGTGTCCCTAGGATAAACACCCATTCGTCATAATGTATTATCTGTATAACTTGCTGCTGGAATTAATTAGCTACTATTTTGTTAAGGAATATTTGTACTTAAGTTTATAAGAAACAATAGTCAGTGATTTGGGCTTTTGTGATTTTTTAAATTGGTTTTTGTATCAAGGCACGTAGGATTAGGTGGTAAGTGCTTCCCCCTCTATTTCTGAAATAAACTGTGAGAAAATATTATTTGTTCCTTAAATATTTGATAGAATTCCCCAGTGAAGCCTCCCGGGCATGGGCTTTACTTGGTGAGGAGATTTTTCATTACAAGTTCATTTCTTCACTGTTTTAACTATGTTAAGATTTTCTGTTTATTCTTGAGTCAGTTTTGGTAATTTGCGTTTTGTCGGAATTTGTCAGTTTCACCTATGTTAACTATGTTCTTTCATAAAGCAATTTAGCATATTCCTTTATCATTTTTTATTTCACTTATAATGATGAGAAGTAATGAATTCATCTCAGATTTTGGTAATTTATTATTTTCCCTTTTTTCTCTTAGTTTAAGCTGTATTTTAAAATATTAATAATAAAATAGGTTCTAAATCGAATTGACTCAAAATACTGTAAGATCTGACTCTGATATTATTGAAAGATAGAGAGAGGAAGATCTAACAAATCATTGTGAAGGTATAAGGGACAAACAGAATTATTTCTTTGTTATCTAACATGAGCCTCAAATTAGTAAGTAACTATCTATTAAATATAGGCAATGTGGAACAACAATAATTAGAATTTAAATGGTTTCATTATTAGGAACTTAACATTTAATTGTGTAAGACTTTGATTATTTAATGTTTACTAGGTTCATAATTCAATTTCCTTCGTAAGTATTCAACAGTAACTAATTTCCACATGGTGTTATTTTCAAATAATTGTATAATAATACTCATGCTGAATCAAGGTTAAATGAATTTCATGATTGCTGCCCCAAATATTGATTAGATGAGTCAGTAAGAAAGTAGGTCATTACTTTTCAAAATAATTTAGTACAATATCTCTCTCTATAAATTAATAATACTGTATTACTCCTATGCATTATTCATTCTTGTGAAAATTTCAATTCATATTTGAGTATAGTAGTTCTAAAACTGAGATGGTATTGCTTCTCAAACGGCCACTTAAAAATATGAGGTGACATTCTTAATGTTTAATTATGAAAAGTTTTGAAAATATATGATAGAAGAGAGAGTAATATTATTAAACAGATGAACTTGTTACTCATTTTCAACAATGTAAACATGTGTTTTGTAATTTTATCCCTATTTGGATACTTATTTTGTATTGCCACAATGATGCCTTGTGACATTTAATCTTTAGGAATTGAGATATCCTATAGGATATCTAGTGCTCAGGGAAGTTTCACTGAACAAAACACTGTCATAGCTAAAATGCCAATAGTACTTTTGGGGAAACACTGTTAATAAAAAAAATTACAGTATTAAGAATAAGTTTGGGACCATTTACTCATAACAGATATTAGAATTCATTTTGCAGGATAGAAAATAATTTACAACTAGCGGAACAGAATTAATTTTTGATAGATAAACCAGGCCTAAATTCATTTTAATAACCTGTTCTTATATCATAAAATAAATCTCTAGGAAAACTCCTGTCCCCTGTGGAAGATATCCGATTGTCACATCAACTTAATAAAACAAAACCGTAATACTGAAAAATAGTAAAAAAGATCTTTTCCTTTTCGTGTAGCTGCAGGACTCATACATTATATACCATGTCAAATAAAAAGTAGAAACTGAGTTTTACGTTGCCCAGATGTTGAGTAGTTTAAGTTATTCACATTCATTGACTAAACTTTATAAAATGAATTAGTCGTCTTTTTGTAAGTAGCTATATGATTGTCAAAGTGGTTTATTTTTTCATCTAAAGCTCAATATATGATAGAGTTTAAGAGCATGAGCTGTGGAATCAGAACAGCTGGAATCAAAACCTAGCCTTACCACTTTCAACTTATGATATTTGAGAAGTTACATCCCCATCTCTTCAGAGTTTCACATACACAGTGGAGATAAAAATAATGCCTATATCATAGTTGCTGTAAAGTCTAAGTGAGTTCATCTTTGTAATGTGCTTTTGAATATTTGTACATTGCAAGGATTCTAAAGTATTAGGCATTAGGCATTGCTGTTGTTTATCATTTCCAGTTTCTTTAGAAAAGTAAACCTAGTTTAACCAACTTGTTGACTTTTATTTATATTTTATACTATGCAGATAACGAGTAGCAATAACAGAAACAGATCTTGATCATCCCCACAAAGTATAAACGGTAATAAGAGTAATGATATTTACCAAAATTTATCAAACACCTTGTAAAATACCATCTCATTTAATGCAACACCACTGTGAAGCAGGGCCTATGAAAACCGTATGTTTCATACAAGGAACTGAGTTAAAGAAAGGTGAAATAGCTTGTGAAAAACGGGCTAAAAAGTTTCTATCAAATAAGATCATGGCTTGTGACCAATATCAATTTTTAAATACTATGTATTTTCTGAATAATTCTCCAAGATGATTAATCTACCTTTTATAAGCACACCCGGTGTTATAAGAACGAACCATTTATAAGCAATTTATGTTATCTGTGCTGGTATTGGTGCAAATAATGAATTTCACTGTCATATGTGAATATGAGAATGCTGTTAAAGCTATTGTGTCAAATGCTTGTTATGTATTTTTTAAATGAATTTTAACGAAGCAAGATATTGTATACCTTTCAAAATCAGTCATGTGGAACGATTTTATATGCATTCTTTGAAGTATTCTAGATAGACATCTAAAATAATATTAGAAGTCTTTGGTGGCATTGCAGAAGAGTTTAACTCATAAACCAATCAATAGAGAAGGTATGATGGAATAAACATGGTCTTTGCATTTTCGTAATCCTGGGTTTGGATCTAAACTCTTCATTCATTTAGCTTTCTGCCTCTGGGCAAGGTGTCTTTCAGCAATGTGCAACAGCTTATCCATCTGTAACACTTCATAAGGTAAAATTATATATTGCACAAGTTCAAATAGGTACATTATTTTATGCTTTATTGGTTTATTTAATTATTTTCTAGTTTTATTCAGTAAATGACAGAGATCCAGATAATAATCCATAGGTTGGGACCAAAACCTGTGATGGGATTTTGGCAGAGGCATCTTGTCAAACTGACAGTCTTTTTGATACTAGGAAGTAGGAAGAAGGAAGTTATTGCAAAAACGTTTATTACTTCCTTTTTTATCACCAGCAAGTAATTTAAGGAAGTATATAGCTTTCCATAATCCGTCTCTTATTTCTACTTCCTTAGGTTTATTTTAATACTTTTCATTTATAAAGAGCCTTTTTCCCGCTTTTTTTTTTTTGTTTGTTATAATTCTTCTTTTCAGGAGGAATCTTCTAGGAGGAATCATTTTGAATGAGTTATTTAAAGATGTAGATTATTCAACCAATAACGTTTTCATTATGTGGTACAACATAGGCAATTTTTTATCTGAGGAAAAATATCACTGTTGGTAAAGATTCGTTCTGTGAACTAACCCTGTTATGATAGCTTAGTCATTCTTTTAGAAAGGGCTACACTTGATGCTAAATTATCAATTAAATAGTTGGCCTTACTTTGGTGTTGAATTTCTAAAGGTTTCTTTTTATCATCTTGTGGTTGGAACTCCCAGAATTTCTTATAAGAAGAAGGATTTTTTTCATTCTGTATAAAGGCTGATTTTTTTTTTTAATTTAAATACCGTTTATTGTAGGAGCAATAACTGACCGGATTTTGTAATCATCTTTTATCTTTATATGTTTTTAACAGGTAACCCTTTATTAACCAGCAAAGTCAATATACTGATTAATGTCCTAGATGTAAATGAATTTCCTCCAGAAATATCTGTGCCATATGAGACAGCCGTGTGTGAAAATGCCAAGCCAGGACAGGTATCTTATAAATATTGTTTCTTGAGTGTATAAAGACACACCATATGCATGTATTTTAAGTTATAAGTCCAGACATGAATGTATACACAAATATTTATTTTTCTGAATCAGACCTTTCATAAAATAAACCATAAAAGATATTAAACTCTTGTGAATTAATGATATAGATAAATGGATGTGGAGGTGATACTACATGGAGGAAGTACTGATTGCTTAGTGAAAGTTCTTTGTATAAAGGTCTACACTTGTGGATTCTGCTATGTTTTTCTATTCTCCTACTGTTGAATTTCTTTTCTTTTCTTTTCTTTTTTTTTTTTCTTGATAGGAAGTCTTGCTCTGTCACCCAGGTTGGAGTGCAATGGCACAGTCTTGGCTCACTGCAACCTCCACCTCCTGTGTTCAAGTGATTATCCTGTCTCAGTCTCCCAAGTAGCTGGGATTATAGGCATGTGCCACCACACCCAGCTAATTGTTTGTATTTGTAATAGAGATGGGGTGTCGGGGTGTCTCCTTGTTAGCCAGGCTAGACTTGAACTCCTGACCTCAAGTGATCCACCAGCAAATTTCTTTCTTTCTTTTTTTCTTTTCTTTTTTTTTAGACAGGGTCTCAGTCTGGCCCCAGGCTGGAGTGCAATGGTGCGATCTCTGCTCACTGCAACCTCCGCCTCCCGGGTTCAAGTGATTCTTGTACCTCAGCCTCCTGAGTAGCGGGGACTACAGGTGCCGGTCACCACGCCTAGCTAATTTTTTTGTATTACTAGTACAGACGGGGTTTCGCCATGTTGGCCAGGATGGTCACAATTTCCTGACCTCATGATCCACCAGCCTCTGCCTCCCAAAGTGCTGGGATTACAGGCATGAGCCACCGCGCCCAGCCCCCACTCACAAATTTCTAAAGAACTTGTGACTGTAAACCCAGTAAGCCAGTCACTTTAGAGTGCATTCTCCCAGTATATTTCTTATTTTGCTCACATGCTTGTATTACTTGCACAACAAATCTTTTAATCTAACCTGAAAATGCAAAGCTTCGCTCTCTGGTGGCCTTGAGGAGAACATCTGGGTTATTTTAAATGTCTGACTTTCATTTTTCTTATGAAGTTAATATTATTCTGTGGAGATGTAGTTGTGGGAAGATGTTATGAGGAAAGAAGACCACAAAGTTAATGAAACTGATTGTGAATGGTTTTATGTTAGGTGGTGGTAGGTTGCCATTTTTTCTTCTTTTTTTTCCCCCTAAAGTCTTATGAATGAATAAAGGAATAATATAAAGGGAATCAGACATGGGTATTTTTAAAAGAGTATGTCATGAAACAAAAATATATTTAATCTAATATTGTGGACTTACATTCCAAATGGAAAAAATGGAAAATGAATTGGTATGCTTTGGTTTATTCTATTTTTGATCAACTTTAAATAGCATAACTATTCACTTGAGTAAATTGAAGTTTTAGTTCTTGAAATAAATCTTGATATTTAAAAGAGTATTTTTGTTGAAAAAAGTCATTCTTTAATCTTTAGTATCTTTTTCAATTTCCATGCTTTACATCACTTAACGGAACCTTTGTCCCATAGTTCTAAACCTGTGATGTCTACTAGTTGTATAGCTATTAAAATAAAATTAAAATTACATGAAACTAAAAACTATATTTTCATTCATACTAACCACATTTCAAGTGCTCAATATGTGGTGAGTAGATATTATTTTGGTGCCTGCAGACATAGAATATTTTCATAACCGTGGAAACTTCTAGTGGACTGTGCTGCTTTACTCTTCCATTTGATAATTTGGGGACTCATTAATCTTCTAACGTCATAACTCATTTTGTGATATTTTCTCAAGTAAGAAATCTGCATCCTTAATTTTGGATGGGCACCGAATACACTTAAAATTTATCACCTTAAGTGCATACACAATTTATATGGGATGAGCCTACAGCTTTCTTTAGTTTCTGAAATCCTAGTTGCTACAAAAATATTTGGGCCCAAATAAATAACCTGATTTGGTTGTTTTGGGAATTTGAAGAGGTTCACCAAAATTCATCAAGTTAGCTATTTTCCACTTTCAGGATACTTCACTAAACAAAGACCAAAAAAAAGCCAGTTCTTTAGCTTTTAGGTGATTGAGGATATTAATGATTTCAGATCAATTAGAATTTCATTTCTAATGCTCCAAATGGAAGCCTTCGGGAATAGAGCTCCATTTAATGCTGTATGTTTGTCCAATAAATTAAAGGATTTGTTGAGTTGAGAAAAGGAAATTAGTTGAAATCAATGTTATTTTTCATATCTGAACAAAATTTTGAAGAATATCTTGGATTCTTAGAGGCTCTTATTCTAAAATACATTTCTGGGGCTTTTTGTGTCCAATTGAGCCATACTTTTCTACAAAGCATAACCCTGAAATGTCCATTGAGTTTTCAGGAATTGTAATATATGAGAAATTAACTGTAATATATTGTAATATATAAGAAATCTATATATGAGCAATGTATATATTTTCTGTTTTTGAGCCCTGCCATTCTGCCACTGGCCTAAGAACTATGCAGAGGAACTGTCTCCTCTGGATTATGCTACTATCTATTATCTGCCTATCGATCATCTACATTTCATGTATTTATTCTGAAAAAATAAGAATAGGAGGAAAGATGATGCTATGTAAATCAGTGAAGATTTATATGGGAGCTGTTTTCCTTGGGGCAGGGACTCCCAAGTGACACTTCCAGATGAGTTCCAGTCTATAACAAAGTCTTCATATCTATATGCTGTTCTTAAGGACTTTTCTTTATTCTAGAGTTATATTCTTGATAGATTTTGAAGTTATACATTTTATTTAGTAAATGGTACTAGTTTATAACAGTTAGAGGCAAAATTTGACGGCCAGTCCCCAAATAATATATAGAAATTTTATCAGCAAAATAGAGTGATCTGTAGACATTGGTCTAAGTGAAGGAAAGTTGGTTTCATAGGGTCTGTGTGGTGATTTACTGACTAAGTAGACACATCCCATGATTTAGACTTTGGTGCTGAATAATGAAAGCCTCACCGTGACAATTTTAAAGCTTAAATAGAGTCTGTGTGACTAATTCACACTAAGACAAGAAATCAAAATTCATACAAGAGGACCAATTAATTTGTTAAATTAGAAATTACTAACACTGCACTGTATATCCAAGGTCCCAGTGATATCTATCTATCTATCTATCTATCTATCCATCCATCCATCTATCCATCCATCCATCCACTCACCTACATACATAACTATCATCTATCTATCCATCCATCCATCCATCCATCCATCCATCCATCCATCCATCCATCTACCTACCTACAAATCTATCATCTATCTATCCGTGTGCGTGCAGATAAACAGGAACATAGATCGTAGTCATAAAATTGGGTTTTAACTGAATTCTCATGCTTAATAGCATCAATGTAAGATCACGTAATGCATGCTTTACACACTGGGACCAGGATATAGTGTCTGAAATCTAGAGCCTTCCTCTTGCATATTCAAATGTAGTCTGAGAGCATGATTATCTGGCCAACACTCTGCCCTTGTCATCTCTCACATACACTTCCTGAAATTCTGTCTGATGCACAGCCATTGGATATGTTAATAAATACATGCCTCAACGCCATTTTTACTTGCTTATCTATTTAATGGATTGTAAATTTCACAGGTTGATTCTCAGCAGTTATTTTTATTCTCTGAGTATTTAAGGGCATTTCATTGAAGTACCAGGCTTTTAACTGTAAGATACACAACGTATGGGAGCAATTTAGGAAAAATTTTGTAACAGGAACGATAGTGCTTACTCTTTTAAAAATTCTTTGAAAACACAATTTGTATTCCTACCGAATGAAGAAAAACATAATGAAAGCAGATATACTGCTTTTATATCTCTCCTTCTCATCATTTTATTTATTTATGAAAATAGAACCATTGTTACAAAACATAACTCATACTAAAATTTTGCTATCACAAGGGCTTTTAGATAACCAGAGATTTTGTTTTCAGTAAGCATTTTTATATTCAGGCTAGAAAGCATTTATTTGATCTAATTTAAAATGCAAGCAAGTACATTTTAATTTTACTTTGCTAATTAGTGTGAATTTTTAATGCTGGTTACCTTTTTAGTTACGCAGATATCAATCTGAAATTAGCCCATGTTCTGTAATTGTGCCTGTCGTTATTCCCTGTAAATGTTAGAAATTTCTTTATAAAAATTATGTGTAAATAATTGACCTACTGTTATTGACTCAAAAAGTGTCATTTCTGTCTACTTGCATGTTTCATTAAATACATTTAGTAGCCTGGTGTGTAAAGTCCTCTTTGAAACTGACGACCGACTTCAAGTTTAATCTCAACTCTGTTTCAGATAATTCAGATAGTCAGTGCTGCAGACCGAGATCTTTCACCTGCTGGGCAACAATTCTCCTTTAGATTATCACCTGAGGCTGCTATCAAACCAAATTTTACAGTTCGTGACTTCAGAAGTAAGTGTAACCACAGAAAAATTTACCTCTTATCATGTATCTTTGTAAAAAGGCACAAAGGGAGGAATCAATACTTTTCTTTGAAGCACTCGTTTTCAGAAAATATGAAATCCTTATATGAGAAAGGCAAAATTCTATACCTAGTAGTAAATTAAATATTTAATCTATATAGACTGTCTAGTAAGGCAGGTTGCTTCCGTTGTAAATGTGGACAGTCTCTCAGTGAGTCAAGCAAATAAAAGAGTCTCTGAGAAATTGAATGTTTTACCTGTTTTAAACATATCATTTGTCCCAAATGCACATTACTTATACTTACTAAGAAGGAGCTCTTTAGAAACTGTTTTATTAGAATAACACAGTACAGCACAGGTTAAGAATGCAGGTATTATAAAGACATGTGGACACAAATGTTCATTGTAGCACTATTCATAATAGCAAAGACAGAATCAACCTAAATGCCCATCAACGACAGACTGGCTGAAGAAAATGTGGTGTGTGTGTGTGTGTGTGTGTGTGTGTGTGTGTGTGTGTATATATATATATATATATAAATACTATGCAGCCATGAGAAAGAATGAGACCATGTCTTTTGTAGGAACATGGATGGAGCTGGAGGCTATTATCTTTAGCAAACTAATGCAGGAACAGAAAATCAAATACTGCATGTTTTCACTTATAAGTGGGAGCTAAATGATAAGAACTTGGGAACAGGAACAAGGAAACAACAAACTCTGGAGTCTACTTGAGGAGGGAGGATGGGAGAAGGGAGAGGAGCAGAAAACATAACTACTGGGTACTGGGCTTAATACTTGGGTGATGAAATAATACACACAACAAATCCCTATGACACATGTTTACCTATGTAACAAACCTTCACGTTACCCTCAAATCTAAAATAAAGGTTAAAAAAATAAAAAATAAAAAATAAATTTAAAGAATGCAGGTATTATATTTGAAATGATATAGGTTTTCATTTCTGCTCCATTACTACCAAAATGACAGACTCTTAATGTATACAATTTTACTAAATCAAGTCAATCTCATAGTATTTTTTATTAAATAAAATCATATTTTCAAAGCCTTAACAAAATGCCTAAAACATGTTACCATCAAGATCATTTTAGCCACCACCAGTGCCATCATGGTTACACTTACACTTTTACTTATTTATTTAGAGGGAGGAGGAGACATGGTTTGCATAGTTTATAATGAGAATTTGCTACTTAAAGATGAATGGAAAGGAAGGAATGAAACTCTTTAAAAATAAATTTGTGTAAAATTTGTTTTACACATTAGTGTAAATGAAACTCTAGTCATTAAAAAAAAGCCACTTAACAATTGCAGATAAATAATTCTACCTGCAAAGAATAGAAACATTACACTTTAAATGTGGACTATATCTATTATTTAACATGATATGGAATACAACTTGTTTTAAATTTAATTTTACTTTTTAAAATTTTAGATTCAGGTGCAGGTTTGTTACATGGGTATATTTCATGATGCTGAAGTTTGGGCTTCTAATGATCCCATTGCTGAAGTAGTGAACCTGGAACCTGATAAGCAGTTTTTTTAAACCCTTTATCTTCTCCCTTTCTCCCCATTTTCGGCATGCCTAGTGTTAGCTGTTGCCATCTTTGTGTTCTGTGTACCCAAAGTTTAGCTCCCTTTTATAAATGAGAATACATGGTATTTCGTTTTCTGCTTCTGTATCAATGTGCTTAGGATAATGGCTTCCAGATGCGTCCATGTTGCTGCAAAGTACACGATTTCATTCTTTTCTATGACTGTGAAGTATTGCATGGTGTACACTTATTCTTCTACTACCACTACTATTGCCAGCACTCCTACTGCTGCTGCTACTGCTAATGCTATTACATCTGCTACAATTACAACCATTACCAAAATATAAAGGACACTGGATTAGAAATATTAAGGTTGAGTATTAAACGGTATCTGTGACTTTATTAGTCTGTAACCCTGGGTATTTTATGCCCTCTAAGTTTCCATATTCTGTAAAATAATCATCAAAACACCTGATTTTATAACCCGAAAATAACAAGATAAATTTTTATAAACTCAATGCATATAGAACAAGTGAACAAATTATATTGAGATGGTGATGATGATGATTGAATCAGAGGATGTTTTGAAGAGATTAGTTTGCTACAATGATTAGGCAAAGAAAATCAGAGTCTCCACAAAATCAGAGTCTCCACATTTTATCACTGAAGGAAGTTGAGTAGGGTTTGCTGAATAAAATATGCAATGTGAGAAATGGCTGTAAGTGAAACAGCGGTCCAATCTTGAAGTCATTTATAATGAGACTGACTACATACTTTATCATAAAAACTGAAACACTTATAAAAAAGTGGGAAATATTAATAATGTTATGTCACAATAGCACACAAAAAATAGGTCTGTCAAAGACAAACTGGACCATATGGTGACCCTATCCAGAAGCTATTTCAGGAGATAACTTAAACCAATAATGTTAGTAGTCTTTGAAAGATTTAAGCAAGAATATAACATATTCATATTTACATTATAGAGAAATCAGCTTGGATGTAGCATATATCATAGGGAGATAAAACTAGTTCTGATGTTATTGCAGGAAATGGGTGAGAGCCTTAGATTAGGATACTGACTGTGAGGATGGAGACAAGTGGATGGAAATAGAATTGATAAGACTTCATGATAGATGCCCTAGATTCAATATGTGTATATCATGTAATAAGACAAAATAGATTTCCAGGTCATAGGCTTCAGCAACTAGGTAGATAGTCACATCATTCACCAAACCCAAGTGTTGACTATTTTCTACAATGTATCTTTGCTGAAAGATCCACTTCAGATTAATCGTGTTAATGGGAACCAGATGATACTGCGTCATAGCAGAGTGCTTTCTCATGGACTAAACATGTACTTGTCACAAAATTTCAGGTGCCATTTACCATGTTCCTTGTTTTATAATGAGTTAGATTTGTAAGGTATTTTTAGTGAAAAGAAAGCATTTAGAGAGGAAATAAAATATAGTGTGTCTTTTTCTTCTCACTACAGATATCACAATAAATTTGTTATGGTCAATTTTCAATAAATAATAAATTGGGTTGGGTGTGGTGGCTCACGCCTGTAATCCTAACACTTTGGGAGGCCAAGGTGGATGGATCACTTGAGGTCAGAAGTTTGAGACCAGCCTGGCCAACATGGTGAAACCCCATCTCTCCTAAAAATATAAAAATTAGCTGGGTGTGGTGGCAGGCACCTGTAGTCCCAGCTATTTAGGAGGCTGAGGCAGGAGAATGCTTGGATTCCAGGAGGCGGAGGTTTCAGTGAGCCGAGATTGATCCACTGCACTCCAGCCTGGGTGACAGAGTGAAACTCCATCTCAAAATAAATAAATAAGTTGAAAATAAACATTTTAAAAAAGGTTAGGCTGCCATTTTACACATGCATTGAGTTCAAGAATACCAAATCCCTACCTCCTCCCAAGTGCAGACACACCAGACATTCTATTTCTATTAGTCATTTTCATTTCAGATTACGAACTTCACTCCTAGCCTGTTCCTTTTCCACAGACTCAAGTGTTTAACCATCAATTGCTTAATATTTAAATTTTGATTCAATTAATATCCTTTTGTTCATCCCTAATCATATCCCAAAAAGTTTTCTCATCTTGGTGCTTCCTATTGCTGAAGAACCTGCCTAAATTTCAGTTGTTTAATTTAAAGTCTACCAATAGAAAAATGAAATCTGATTGAAATAGTAAACATATTTGTGACAGACTTGCACAATTGTAACATATTGTACACTTTTCTAAAGTTATCTTACCTTATTCTCAAGTATTATGCGTAGCTATACTAAACTACATATTCATACATTTCTAAAAATAAAGCATTTCTAGGGGTTACTTTGACACACAAATGAAATATTGTTATGAATAAAACAAAATTCCTGCTTATTTGTGTAGAAATAAAAGAGAAAATGCATACAAAAGAGCACCTTCAATAGAAGTATTAATTGCATTTATATAAAAGTAGTAATTTTTATTGTCTCACATTATTACAAGTAAATATGATTTTGAATTAACCAGAATTACAATGAATTACTTTTTAAATTATATTAAAGTAGTGATTGTTATAGTTCAAGGTGTTTACAACTTTTAATGTTTTTAACAAACCTTATTTTCCTTTCCATGTTTCTTATTCCAGCTGATGTGCAGAGTTGAAAGTATTCCCATACATACAAACATATATAACATATATTTATAAACATATAGACATATACAACATGTAGACAGAAAAATTCTTAATTTAAAATAGTCAATTGGTTTTAATATAGTTTAAAGAATAGGTTCTTATGTGAAATAATTTACATTCATAGTTTAATATTTTCTATTATGCATGAAAATATTTACAAAATTACTTTTTAACGAGATTGCAATGTCAGAAACAAATTGATCAATTTAATTCACTTTCTGTCTTATAAAGCATTCCATAATCTTTCTGAACAGAAAATTTAATTCTCCTACCAGACAAGATTAATGTTTATTTTTCCTCTAATGATTATTTTGATTATATTTTGGCAGTTTTCATAATGGGAAAAAAAAATAAAGAAAATAAGAATCATTTTTCCTGATTCAAGAAGAGCTTCTTACTATTGAGCAGATACCAACTTGAAGATTTGAAGTGAAGCTCATAGTAACCATGTTACCATAAATGTCCTGTTTTGTAGACAACACAGCTGGGATTGAAACCCGAAGAAATGGATACAGCCGCAGGCAGCAAGAGTTGTATTTCCTCCCTGTTATAATTGAAGACAGCAGCTACCCTGTCCAGAGCAGCACAAACACAATGACTATTCGAGTCTGTAGATGTGACTCTGATGGCACCATCCTGTCTTGTAATGTGGAAGCAATTTTTCTACCTGTAGGACTTAGCACTGGGGCATTGATTGCAATTCTACTATGCATTGTTATACTCTTAGGTTGGTTTCAATATTAATCATTGTTAATTTTTTCTCGCTTGGTCTCTTTCTTTCTTTTTTCCCCTCTCTCTCCTCTATCTCTCTCCTCAGTTTATCATGTAAACTAGCTTTTATTCAAGGACATGTCATACCTAACTTCTCAATTTGTTTTACATCCTAGTAATTGCTGCTGTCTAATAAGAGATTATATCATCTTTTTAAAAAAATATACTTGATGAACAATGGTTCTCAGATTCCAGTTAGATAAAGAAAGGAAAATAAAAGAGAGAACAGAAAGAAACAGAACATAAAGTAATCCTCAAATTTGTTTGTCTTTTCTGTCTAAACTGCCATCCAGAAGTAATTCTTCCATTTTCTTGCATCTCCTTACATCAAAATTCTAACCACTCCCACTAGAACAGAACAGAATAAAATATCTGGAAACACTCCAAAGGAAAATCATTGAAGTAAATGTATTCTATATTATCTCAGTGAGATTGAATATAAACCTATTAGGGGGTTCCCCCTTCCATCAACTCTGTTCAGTTTCTCCATTTATTAATCCACTGCCAGATTCACAAAAGTAGAGAGAGATTTTCTATTACACCTCATTCCTTTAAAATCAAATGGCAACAGATATACAACTGGGTATTGTGGAATCAAATTATATATGCATATTTACTAATTAACTAAAAATAATCTGACAAATATGGACACCTGATTTTACCTCTAGGAAAGAAAAAAATTAATTAGTAGGATGTAAGGCACAGAGTAAGGCATTAAATGGTAGCTTGTGGAGAGCACTCCCTGAGTCAGAAGCTCATGCTGATGTGGAGGGTGAAGTTCTAGTCCAATTGGCATGGTGTAGATGTGAATTCCATATGAGAAACTTTGGTGTGCAGAGCAAAGTATTCTTTATTTCCTTATAATTCATAATAAATTATCCCGGGCATCTCTTTGTGTTAAGATAAACCTTAAGGACATATTCCAAGTAATATTTTCACATCTGAAATGTAATAAGATCATTTAGATGTTTAACATCAAATGAATTTTTTCTCTCTCATATGACTCTCTTCACTTGTAGCTGAGTCCTGGAGTATTTCTATATTGTGAAAGTTGTCAGAATCAAAATGGAGTCACTAATGTTAAGAAAATCCTGACAAATAGAGCTAGAGAAGACCATGGAGAGAGGGTTTTCACCCATATATGCCTGATAATGAAAAAAACTGTAAAAATCACAGCCCCACACAAAGGCCATCACAACCTTGTACAAAATCACTTCTGCCAGGACATCTGCCCAGCAACTGCCTGTCCAATGTTGCACTGGCATCACCCTTGTTATTAGTCTTTGTAGTCAAGGATAATTATTTAAAACAATTATGTATCCTCCTCATTTTTTTCTTTAAAAACCTTTGTCTTCCTTTATCTCCCTGAACACACACATAGTTTACTATGGCACTCACATTCTCATTGCTATACTCTATTTCCAAATAAATATATTTTATTTCAGAGAAACTCTTTCGGTTTGTTATTTGGGTCGACAGTATCAATCTAACATGGCTTGGTATGTTCAGGATGTTCTCCTTTGGCCTCTTTGGCCATCATACACTGTAGCAAGTAATCTGCTCAGGTCATCCTTGTCATGTACTGCCACCTGCCACTCATTTATCTGAATACTTCCTGAGCATCCACAGAGCTCCAGCACTATTCTAGGCATTGTGAATTTTTGGTATACAGCAGTGTATATTGACACTCTTTGTCCAGCCATAAGGTCTGCATAAAAATCTGTCTAATCTTTGACCTCCTTGACCAATGTCACACTCCTTTAGGTCCACTAGCTTGTTTTCAGCCATTCTCATATCCTTTTTGGGGTGAGAAGAAGCACAGAAAGTTATGGCGCTTGGATCCCTTTTAAATGGACCTCAGACACATCCAGCTAGTTTCTTTCTCAGCCATGATGATTCTGAACTCATTTTATGTATGGGACTGCTCCATGAGGTCTGCAGTCTCTCACATACTCAGTAGAGGAACAAACAATAGTGTCCTTTGTTCTGAGAGGAGAATATAAACCCGTGGGAGGAGTGTAGGGTGCTAAACATCTCCCCAAGACCCACTGTACAGAAGCTCTACATGGATCTCCTCTCTCCTTCCAACTAGTCCATCTCTAATTTTGGAGGAAGAGAGAATACATGAAATTTTATCATTATTCATTCTTCTCTACTTTATAATTCTATGACAGGTGTCTTCCAGACGCTGCTATGGTAAACCAAACACACATTAGCTTTCACCTGTTGACACCACTATGGAGGAGAGGGGTTATTATGACAAGAAAAGCTGAGCACTGACGTCGTCACTTGTATCTGTGCATAGAAGAAATAAACACCATTGACTTAGTGGAGAGTTTTAAATCAACTAGAAGTAGAGAGAGATTTTAATTATAAAAGTACATAAATTAACAATTTTAAAACATTGTTTCAAGAAAGTAACCTGAATTCTAGGCTCTTGATTTAAAAACTGTCTCAATATGGCAGGACACAGAAATGAAATCGATGCTTTAGTTTGTAAGATTTATAAACTAAGGTCCTTATATTTTCCTTGTTTCCTTCCTTCCTTCCTTCCTTCCTTCCTTCCTTCCTTCCTTCCTTCCTCCTTTCCTTTTCCTCTACTTCTCTCTTTCTTATTTATTGCCTATAAAAATAATTGTCACAGTGAAGATTTGGGCTTATCGCGTAAGAAACATGAATTTCTAATTTAAAATAAGGAATGTTCCAATTGGGAAGTTAGCTATGAATGATAGTCTTATTTATAGATGATAATATTCAAGTTTTCTTGTGTTAGTGCTAACAATTTTCTGTATGAGTGGAATAACTATTATTTCATGTTTTCTTTTGTTGCAACACCCACTTTTACCTGACCCTAAAATACCTGGAGGCCATTAACGAAACTCAGCCACCCCTAATCATTTTTAATTTTTATGGAGAGATGAAATGACCTATCTGCTTTCTATTCTCAAATTGCAATTTTTGTCTTGTTCCAGCCATAGTCGTACTGTATGTAGCGCTGCGAAGGCAGAAGAAAAAAGATACCCTGATGACCTCTAAAGAAGACATCAGAGACAACGTCATCCATTACGATGATGAAGGAGGCGGGGAGGAAGATACCCAGGCTTTCGACATCGGGGCTCTGAGAAACCCAAAAGTGATTGAGGAGAACAAAATTCGCAGGGATATAAAACCAGACTCTCTCTGTTTACCTCGTCAGAGACCACCCGTGGAAGATAACACAGACATAAGGGATTTCATTCATCAAAGGCTACAGGAAAATGATGTGGACCCAACTGCCCCACCGTACGATTCACTGGCCACATATGCCTACGAAGGGACTGGGTCCGTGGCCGAGTCCCTCAGCTCTATAGACTCTCTCACCACAGAAGCCGACCAGGACTACGACTACCTGACGGACTGGGGACCCCGCTTTAAAGTCTTGGCAGACATGTTTGGCGAAGAAGAGAGTTATAACCCTGATAAAGTCACTTAAGGGAGTCGTGAAGGCTAAAATGCAACCGAGAGGGGAGATTTTTAAAAAAGAAAAAGAAACACAAATATTAATAGAAATCACTCACACAAACACATACACACACACACACACACACACACACACACAGACTTTCTGGGACAAGATTCCTTTGATTATCTGGTTTCTAGCAAGTTGTTAAATTAATCGTATTGTCAGTTTTGGTTTATTCTGCCAACACGAGATACATCCTATAACGTGTACTTGCTTCGTTCTGTGGTTTGGTTTTTTCACAATCACGCTGAGACAAGCTCAGGCCTATTCAATACAATTTACTGGCATGACAACCTAGAACGAAGATAGCTATGTGGCATCACGGTGGAAGAGTGTTAGATTTTTCTTAATTCCACTAAAGTGCCTATTGAAACTCTTATCATTTAAAGTGGTGTACAGTGCACTCTGCTGTGATGGTATTGCAGGATTCAGAAATAAAGAGGACATAAAACAAAGACGTCCTTATGTCAAGAAGCAATAGCGACACTCTAACTCTCCTCATTCCTTTTGAGAACAAAAGAACGTTTCCTGATCTCCACCGTCTTCTAATTCAAAAGGTTTTCTTTTTCTTTTTTAAACTGTATGCTAAGACATATGTTTATCCTATCCTTTCAGAAAATTGAAATACATATGAAAATATCAAGTTCAATATGTAAGTCCCGAATTCTGGAAACGATGTTTGATCTTAACATTAGTTCACATTAAAGCTGTTCATTAAAATGTTACTTTCTTTTCCAAAAAAAAATCAAATTAAAAAAAAAGAAAAGAAAAAATATTCCTCTTTATAAAGAGAGGCCTCAGGGCTCAAATTACACATTAAAATAAATACTGGTTTTGCTTAATATTGTACTGGTGTGTGGAAAATTGGTTTTAACAGTCACCAGATTCAGCTTTTAGTCACAGATATAATTTCAGGTTGTGTTTCTATGAAAATTCCTAGAAGAAAAAAGTGCCATTCATTTAAGCTTGGAAGGAGAAATTCATTGCACAGTTTCTCAGAGTTTCTTACAATCTAGTGATTCTTTGATGAGCAGCAAAATAAAATACATATCAAATAATCGAGGATGGATTTATAAGATGTCTAAAAATATTTGTTATACATTATTGAAAAAATAAAAAATCGAGGGCTGAAAAAATTCAAACCAATGACTGAATCCTAAAATGAACGCAAATTCAATCTCAGGCAGCTAATATACTTACTTACATGGACTTCAACTTTGTGAACACCATTATCATATTGGAGCTCATAGTTGCCTCTTTGTTCCCTCATCTACAAAAATCTTAATGTAAATTATCCCTTACAAATTCCCTGTAAAGAACTTTTTAATTTGATGCAAATTTCTAAGTAATATTAGATTTTATAAGCGCATTAGTAAACTAAACTCACATACATCACTTTCAAGCAGATTGCACACTAGCTTGGAAAACATAAAAATATGCAAACTAATTATAAAATAATACATTTTCTATGAATATGATAACTGCTTAAGTGACTACTGTAATACTGACACTATATGTATGAAAAAATTAAAGTTACTTATGGGTCCATCCTGAAGATACGGTCAATATCTAGCTGGGTTTATGAAATACTTATAAATATATTTAATATTTGCAAGGTTTTGAAGCTAAAAATTCACACATGGGAAAAACAGGCAGAAGTATAGACAACACAAGAAAATCATATTCACCTTTATTCATTTATAAATGCATCCATTAAAATGATCTGACTACTCGTTATGCTGTGGCAATGGGGCCATTTGAATTCGCATTCCCCATTTCTTTGTTGATATCTCCCAGTTCCATATTCTCATTTTCTCCCTTTCAGGAATGGCTGATGAACTTGTTTTCTTCTATCCCATCCCAATTTTAGCTTTATCTATCCCTAAGAACTGCATTATAATATTGATGTAGTGTGGTAATTTACAGTATGTTTGGGAAAGTATTTAGATAACAGGTTTCAAAAGCTGGTGAAGCCATAACCATCCTGGAGAGAAAAATCAGGACAATTTTTGGGTTTGCCTTAGCAACATGATTTGCTGTGGAGTGATGCATAACCCCTGAAGAAGCTTACCATGCAAGATTACTTCTGGTAGACAAAAAGATTCCCATCAGGAATTGCTGCATTTTGCATTTTGTAGGAAATCTAACTGCCTCTGCATGTGGTCATTTAGCAGAGGCAATGGTAGCATGGAGAAAACTTGGGAGGGGCAGGTCATTTCAAACCTCATGGCTGAGATGCTGAACAAAAATATGAAATAGGTAGGATCTTATTTTCACCAAACTGTTGAATACTTTTTAGTATGTCTGGCTTTTATTTTTGCCACACCACTGCATTTGTTTGCTAGGTCTGCCATAACAAAATATCGCAGTCTGAGTGACTTAACAGTAACGTATTTTCTCACAGTTCTGGAGGCAAAACATCCAAGATGAAGGGGTTGGCAGAGCTGATTTCTCCTGGGAGTCCCTCCTTGGCTTGCCCATGGCCATCTTCTCTCTGTGTCTTCACACGGTAGTCCCTTTTTGCTTACTCATGTCCCAATTTCTCTTCTTATAAAAAACACCAGGCTGGGCACGGTGCCTGTAATCCCAGTTTTGGGAGCCGAGGTGGGTGGATCACCTGAGGTCAGGAGTTCAAGACCAGCCTGGACAACATGGCGAAACCCTGTCTCTACCAAAAATACAAAATTTAGCTGGGCATGGTGGCAGGCGCCTGTAATCCCAGCTACTCTAGAGGGTGAGGCAGAGAGAACTGCTTAAAACCCAGGAGGCAGAGGTTGCAATAAGCTGAATTGTCACCACTGCACTCCAGCCTGGGTGATAGAGTGAGACTGTGTCTCAAAAACAAAAACATAAACAAAAAAAGACGCCAGTTATACTGTATTAGGACCCACCCATAAGAGCTCTTTTTATCTCAATTACCTTTGTAAAGGCTCTATCTCCAAATATAATCACACTGTGAGTTACTGGGGTTTAGGACTTCAACACATGATTTTCGAAGAGACACAATTCAGCCCACATCAACCACAGAGATGTTCATCACATATGCTTTTTTACAAACTGGCTTGGTTTAAAACACACACAAAACAAACCAAATATATGGGGAAAAAATGAATAGAAATGATTTCAGATACAACGGGACACCAGAGGAGAGATATGGGGAAAAGAGGTCTTTGGTGCTCATAAATTTAAGTATTATGGGATATCTTTTATGCTATGACATCACACTAGGCCTAATATTTCAATACTTGCAATATGTTGGGTTCTGTTTTATTTTATAATAACAAAATTACTGACCTTCGTTTAAGCATTAAGCACTATAAAATGTTTAGAACTTATATGGGGAATTTTGGCTATTAATAATAATTAAACCATAATTTTATTGCCTTGCATGTTTACTTTTATGGAAGTATATATGTATGTATTATACGTAACATGTATGTTACTTATATATATTTTAAAATGTTACATTTAATTGTGTTCAATGAAGTATTAGACCAACACATATGAGTGCAACAATGTGATATACTAGAGATAATCCAAAATTGCTTTTGTACCAAATTCTCACCAGAAATGTGAGGCAAGCTCCTTAGCCTCCCAGTGGTCTGTTTTCTTTGGCAAAATTAATTTGTTGAACTTAGTGTTGTATACATTTCCTCTTAAATGTCTTGATTCTTAAATTCTAGTTACAATCTCATGAAGTTCACTAAATCATTTAAATATTGATTACATGTAATTATAAGAATCATAGAGAACCTTAAAGCGTATTATAAATATTAGGAATCTTTGAACTATAGATTGGATTAATTATACATTAAAACTCACCACTTCTACCACATAAGAGAGGCCAAACATTTCCTAGGTGCAAATGTCAAAATTTTTCTGCAAGATTGAAAAGCAGAGGTGTACATATGATGAGAGAAAAAAAAAGTGTTAAAATAATTAGGCCCAGATATTGAGCCAAACAGGATAAACAAATGATAGGAAGAAAAAATTAGAAGGGATGTGCTATTGAATACAGAAATCCCTGGAAGAGTTTCAGTAACTATTTTATTAAAAATGGGAATTCCGAAAACGAGATGTCAATATACAGGCCTTGTATTTGAAGTGGTCCCTCACTTATTACTAAATCTGAACAAAGAGTTGATTAAATGTCAATAAACAGTCTGAGCTTGATTACTAAGGGAAGGGACATGTGTATGTGGTGGGAGGGGTATGTTATTTTCATAAATTACTCCTCCCTTGAATTTTTTTTTTTTTCTCACCAATCTGTAGTTTGTTTAGGTACACAATTCTTATTTGGAATTATGTTCTTTTTTAATGATTCACTCAATATTTTGAAAATAGTTTCTGTCATATTTTAGCATCCAACTGAGGTGATGAGATAGCATAGTGACCATGTCATTCTTTTCTTTATATGTGATATGGTTTTTTACATAAGGGTCTTCATAATTTTTATCCTTATTGTTATAACATTTCACATGAATGAGTCAAGAGAAGTTTTGTTCATCATTCTCAGGACTTGGCATTCCATGACGCCTTTCAACACAGAGCTTCCGAGCCTTAAGTTCTGAGAGAGTTTCTTGCAATCATTCTTTAATAATTTCCCACCCCACGTTTTTCTCTTCTGTCTGTGGAATTTTGAATCTTTGCTTTTTGGATGTTCTAGATTTAAGCACTAATTATCTTTTAACTGTCACTTTCTGTCTTATACTTTATCCTGTATTCATGGTGATCTTTTCATCTTTGTCTTCTAGTTCTATTGATTTTTTTCTAGTGATTTTCTTTCATTTTTAATTTCAGGAGTATTTTGTTGTTCTGTTCCCTGTCTTTTTTATATTATTCTGCTCTTATTTTTAGATCGGTCTTTTCTTGACTCACTCCAATGATGTTAATTGCAGCTCTTTACATTTTGTAATGCTATTTTTCCCTCTGAATTCTGTTATTCAAACACAGTATGAGAAAGTGAGATATAGACTTCCATTCTCCTTTATTCTAGTTCACCCTCATGTCTCATTCCAGTTTTCTGCCATATGATATGTCCAAATCCTGACACATCCTACGATTGTGGTGAGAAAATAAGTTTTCTACTGAGCTGCAACACTGATTCCCTCGTCTGCAAATTTTCTGCCCAGCTTCACCCACTATTATTCTGTTAGCCTTCCAAACATTTATGCAAAATATTTGTCTGCCAATGAACTTTATGGCATATTCTTTATTTTTGTGCGGATACACACAGACACACACACACACAAAAAAAAACATGTATACACACATATACATAACATAGAAATAATACATAGAAAGTTTTTATAATATATATTCTTTTATCATTAAGTTACAATATCATAACTTTCTCTTAGTTTGAAAAGGCCATAAAATAAGATATAATCAATCATAATGACCCCAAATCTGAAAAAGAATCCCGATCATTTTATTTTATATCCATTGTTATAAAACAATGAAGTTAATTCTAGTGTGTATGTGTATTACACAAACACATATACATATACTTATGTACGTGTTTACATGTTTATAAGTCCAATTTGCATTGTGGGTTGCCACGTAAGTCTTTTATTATTTATTTTCTTAAAAACCAATTGTCACGGATTTTCATAACAATAAATTTTATTTACTGAATTTCTCAAAAGTTCTTAAACTTTATTGGAGTTTAATTGTATGTCATTTTAATGGTCCCATTTTCAAATAAAAGGAAAAAATAGAAGGCAAGAGTGCCCAAACAACTTGGGCAAAACCATGAAATAATAAAAAACTATGGGGTAAAGCCCTTTCTTTATTTGTGAATGATTAAATAACTCAATCTCAACTTTCACTCTGATGCTTTTTCCCTTGTTTTTTATAGTTTCTACACTATTATTTGTTACACTGTAATGGCAAGGTAAATTAACATGGATCTCTGGGAATTATGGATCATACTATAATTGCTATACTTCCTTAAAAAGAAGAAATAACCTAAACATTATTTATTCTTATGTCAATATCTTACTCAAGAACAAGAATGAAGGACACAATAGGTTGCACAGTACAGGTGAAAACTCTATTATACAATTGAAAATATTCACGTTTATATTACCAAGAATTCAATGTATTTGAAGCTGTATCATTTTGCATCTCCTTTTAAACATTGACATTTACCATCTCAACACTACCCTGATCTTAACTTGCTTGGACTTTTCAATCTATGTCTAAATTCATTTCTTTTTAGCTTCCCATAGGTGTAGCTATACCTTAGCCCATATCATCACTTAAATTCCTAACCTCCAAATGGAATTTATTTAGTCTCTTCCTATCCATTTTTCTATGGATATGGTGTTTGCCATGATTAAAAATTACATGAAACATTCAGTAATTCTCTTTCTTCTCTTCTGCTCTGAAGGGTTTTTTTTTTTTTTAAAGTAATAGCAATAATAGAGCTACTAATCATTGAGCATATGCTATGTAGGCAATTATGCTACAAGCATTTAAAGCTTACTTGATGAGACACATATTACCATTGTATTTATCTTACACATGAGTAAATTAGGCTTGAATAGGTGAAGTAACATGTCTGTTTAGTCACAACTAACAAGAGGCAGAGCCAGGACACTGACAGAATTATGATATGCACACTCCGCCCCTTTACCCATGAGATACAACATATTGCACTCTCCTGCCTAGCTCCTTTGTAACTGTTTAACAACCTGAAATCTGTTTCTTTGAAGTTCACTAATAACTTTATAATTTAAAAACTTCAGCGTTCCTTTCTTTCATCTCCCTGATGTTTCTGTAGAGTTAATCACACGTTCATATCTCATCTTCAAGCTTCTTCCACCTTTTTGGTCACACATTTTTTCTTTCCTCTTTTAAGGCTTCATATACCTCTCACACAGCCTACAAAAATAATCCCACAGAGTTCTCCCTTCTGTTCTCATTTCTTTTTTATATCATTGACATTTGGAGGCCTCTTGTTATAATAGCAATTTTCATCTCTGTATAAATACTATTCAAATGATCCTTAAATGTATATTTATACATTTTCCCTTTCAGCAAGATGACGGAGTTTTAGTTGCACATGCTTGCTATCTTCTGAACACCACCTGGCCAATCTAATCCATTGCCTTTGAATTCTTGAGATCCAAGTCTATATCCTCCTTTCTCCAAGTTTAGTATTTCTGTTGTTACTTGGGATGTGAACTATCCTCCTGCACTTGCTCTTTCTCTGTCTCCTCTCCTCTCCTCTCCTCCCCTCCCCTCGCTTCTCTTCTCACCTTCCCTCTCCTCTCTTCTCCCATCCTTTTCCCTGTTTTATCAGTTCTATTTCTGATGGGATATTTATGATCTTCTTTTCCATGCTGTTGTTAAAAAAAAACAATGCATTGCTCTTCTACTTTTCAAGTAACAGTTTAAAACATGCACTCTTAAAATTACTAAGATGGTACAGAAAATAGCTGTGCATTTCATACCCAGTTTCCCCTATTAACACCTTCCATTAATTAACCAATACCGATGCCTTGCTAATTACATTCTATTTTACATTTTTGTTTACCTAATATGCTTTTATTGTTGTTGTTGTCTTAGAATCCGATCCACAACATGCTATTGCTT